TTAGGAAGTTGAAGTGAATCTTATAATTACAGATTATTGTATGCCAGGCATGACTGGTTATGATTTGCTCAAGAAAGTCAAGGTATTTGTTTTTGTTTCTTTCCTAATTTTTATTTGATTTTGATCTCTGGAAATTTGTTTTAGAAAGTTTTCAATTATTTTGCAGGAATCATCAGCTTTGAAGAACATACCAGTAGTTATTATGTCCTCTGAGAACGTTCCTGCAAGAATCAGCAGGTAAAAAGAACAATGAAAGATTGAATCTTTAGTTGTTTTTCATCATAATGGAAGATTCTAATGTTAGATGTGTTATAATTCATGAAAGATGTTTGGAAGAAGGAGCTGAAGAGTTTCTCTTGAAACCAGTAAGATTGGCTGATCTCAACAAGTTGAAACCTCATATGATGAAAACAAAGCTCAAGAACCAGAAGCTGGAAGAGATTGAGACACCTTCGAAAGATGAAAATGTAACCGTAGCAGCAGGTGATGAGCCAGAGATTGTCAAAAGTTCAGCAGAAATCGAATTCAAGATCGTAGCTTTTCAATCGGAAACAGAACCGAAACAACAACATCTGCAAGTAGTGCAACAAGAAGAACAAACGTTGAGTAACAATAAGAGGAAGTCAATGGAAGAAGGACTCTCAACAGAAAGATCACGTCCTAGATTCGACGGTATCACAACCGCTGTCTGATCTATCGGTATTCGGTTTCTGATTTTTAGAATTTTGTAGATTGTTTTAGGAATGCTTCTGCTGGTACAATAGGGAATGCAGAGAGGGAATATAGATGGATGATAATAATGAAGATGATGGTGTATTGTGATACTGTTAATATGTACATCAGTAAATCTTACATGGTGAATAACCCATTTCCCAATTTTGTGTCACAATTTAGAAACTGTTTTCATTTCAGTTCACATTTTTACTTCCTCATGTATAGACAAGTACATGTCCTCGTGGGCAAAAGTTATCAATCTAGTAAATTCTGGTACAAGATTTGTCACTGTTTGTTCCATGTTCTTATTCTCTACCTAACCTGAAACAGAATTTCAGTAGAAGTTGTCATTTGGTCTCTCTGTTCTCTCTTCACAGAACAAGAATCTTGTTAAGAGTTGTGTTTCACTTTGACGAAAAATCTTGGTTATATAATAGTC